TGCCTTAGTCAGCTGCTATGGGGAAAATATGGGAAATGAGTGCAGCTGGCGCTTGTGGGTCAATTTCCAGCTGTTGGCCGCATTTATGGCCCACGCGAATGCAGTGCCAAATGCTCCGTTTTCGCGCTCTCTGCCTCGCTCTCTCGCTCTCCCCTCTGCTTGCTAAGTTTTCTTCGCCGCATTTGTTTTGGGTACGTGCTTCCGTTACATATGCTTGTTTGTTGCCCCGGCAACAGGAGTACACGTGTCCTGGCCCTGCGGTCACCTCTGACCCGCTTGGGGCTCCCGCACCCCCGATCGCTTTGCCGGTGGGTTTGGGCAGTCGTGATTCCACCTTCTTATCAGCGAAACACTCATTCAGCACACAAGAATTTAGTACGCAAAGCTTTCGCATAAAATGCGCTCCAACGCCGCCATTGGGGCGTTGTGGAGTGACTCACCGTTAGTCGGATGGTTTTTCGGATTGGAATCAATGTTATTTGTTTTTTTTTTTTTAATTATTATTTTTTATTTTGCTTTGCATTTGTTTTTGTTGATAAGGTTCTTAGTTCATAATGAGCTCATAGAAAGCAGAGTGAGAGAGAGAGAGAGAGAGAAAGTATAGAAAATGTGTGTAAATTAAGTAAATATAATTAAAAATCTGTTTAAAACTACAGACGTATTTATTGATTTCTATTATTATTAAAGTACATATATTAAAATTTCCATAAAAATACAAATATCAGTTTATAATAAATTGATAAAATTGGAATGTCTGTTCCAGTTGATATTCTTCGTAAATTTTAATATGATAATTATCTTAATTTAATAGGAATTCGCACAAATATCTTTGAGAAGAGGAATCGTTTATTTAACTCAAGCAATTCTTATAAATCAGTAAATAAATAAATACAAATATTTATTTACTTTGACTCGCTCACATTACACTCGAATGCCATTTATAAATGTCATATTTGGTTGCATAGTGTAGATATTCATTATCAGATAACTGAAATAGTTTTTTTTTAGCTCTGTGGTTTGTTGTACTCGAGCTTTACACGCCGCTAATAATAGTGGATAGTTATTTATGTCGTCTGAACTACACATGAACTCTGCATACACTTGTAGTGCCCATATATATACTATACTATACTATACTATAAACGACTAATTTACGGACCGTTTAAAAATTAGCCGTTGCGTGTCCAATTTCTCGCATTAACTCGCATAAGAGCAGAAATTTGCAAACAAATCAAATAATAATAAACACGACATATTGTCGCCGTCTGCAATTTATTGTTATACAATTGAGCTACATATATCTGATGATATTCGTATCCGTTCAGTAACTATAAAAAAGCGGGCCGTGGCTTGTTTATAATCGGAGATCTTTCAGAGCCAACACGAATTTCTCTGCGAGAGTATCCGAATATGTAGAGCAATATCAGGTCGTATATAGTATATTATCAAATAACTTCACGCAGTGCGCCGTTGCGTAATGCTCCACTTAGTTAAACCCATTTAATATACATACACACACACACATAACTGTAATGTTAGAGTATTTTTATGGCTTCCATGGGGAGGTGTTCGGAATGACTTTGAGAGTGAGCGCACGAGGGGCCAAGCTGAAGGCAGTTGTTGTTGTTATTTTTCTCCCTTATTCTGGCAGTTAAATGTTAATTGGCTGATTGACACGAGAGCAACGCAGCGTGCTTCAGTGGGGAGTGTACGACTGGCAAATGCTCTAAAGAAACGGTTTTTGTCGAGTGCAAAAAGTGAAAGCCAGCTAGATTATTATTTTATCTGATAATAAACTCTAAATATAAAATATATTATATATTAATTATCTATTAATATTGCGGAAATGGAGTGCGTTATCTAAATGAGCCCACGATAAACTCGAGCTGCGACATTCAAATCTTATATTTAATTTGATCTTATCTTATCTCATTTCTTTCACGTCAAGTGGGCTCAGACAGACATACTGAAGTCAGCATACCCCTTGTACCCAATTACACTGAGTACAGGGTATGGTAACACGAAGGTGTTTCAAATGGCCTTCCGATACTGTAAACAGATTTCTGAGCTATGCAGGTCATCGCTTGATTGCCATAAGGTCGCTCAACCATCTAATAGACCTGCTAACATATTTCAGCATGAGAAAGAGAGATTCGGAATGGGGACTATTGGAATTTCTCAAAGATAACAATGATTATCAATCTGAGCAGAACTGAAAGAAAGAGAGAGAGTTTTCGCTCACTTATGTAGTCATTCAATTGTTAAGTCACTGAAAATTGCTTTTTAATCAGCTCGCAGACTGGATTAGTTGCTGTCAAACACCTGATAACGTGCTGTCCATTTGCAAGAGTTGTTGTAAAGATATGTTATTTAATCAATCACGCATAGCCGTATAACAAGAGCAATATCTATTCTCCATTCCCGCAGGGCGTCAGCGAAAGTAGCTATCATCCGGCAAAGCAGGCGGAGGCCAATGGCTATGTGAGCCAGACGGGCAGCTCCTGCGACAAGTTCAAGCCCAGTCGGGCGGATGGCGTGCTGTCGGCGGAGCAGGAGCACTACCAGAAGACATCCTTTGAGGATGTGCCGCTGTACACGGCCTGTCTGACGTACCTGGGCTTCTATCTACTCATGATACTGGGCTACATCAACCAGCTGCTGTTCGTGCCCAAGGTGGCCACGGAGAAGGGTCGCGAGGGCTACGTGGCCCTCTACGATGCCTTCGAGAGCTTCTACTCGCGCTATGTGTATCGTCGGGTGCGCGACTGCTGGAATCGCCCCATCTGCAGTGTGCCGGGCGACGAGCTGGTGCTGAAGGACCGCGTCACGGACGACTACGGCTGGAGCTTTAGATTTACGGGCACCGAGACGCGCTGCCTCAACCTGGGCTCCTACAATTACCTGGGCTTTGCTGCCGCCACAGGGCCCTGTGCGGATGACTCTGAGAATCGTGCGCGCCAGGACGGTCTGGCCTACTGCAGTCCCCGCTCTGAGCTGGGCAACACGCAGCTGCACATCGACCTGGAGCGGCTGACTGCCCGCTACTGCGGCGTCGAGGATGCCATCGTCTTTGGCATGGGCTTCGCCACGAACGCCCTCAACTTGCCATCGCTCCTGGGACCCGACTGCTTGGTGGTGAGCGACGAGAAGAATCACGCCTCCATCATCCTCGGTCTGCGTCTGTCGGGCGCTACGACGCGTGTGTTCAAGCACAACAGTATGCGGGACTTGGAGCGTGTGCTGCGCAACGGCATCTGCTACGGCAATCCGAAGAAGGGGGGCAAGCCGTGGAACAAGATCATGATCCTTGTCGAGGGCATCTTCAGCATGGAAGGTTCCATTGTGCGCCTGCCCGAGATAATTGCCCTGAAGAAGAAGTACAAGGCGTATCTGTATCTGGATGAGGCGCACAGCATCGGCTCTATGGGTCCAACTGGACGCGGCGTGGTCGAGTACTTTGGCGCCGATCCCAAAGATGTGGACATTCTGATGGGCACCTTCACCAAGAGCTTCGGCAGTGCCGGCGGCTACATAGCTGGCTCCAAGGTAAACACATACTCAATGGCCGTTCCTTGACTTGTTGTTCAGCTTGTCTTCTCTTCGCCCCGCACAGAAACTGATTGACTTCTTGCGCACGAACAGTCACGCCCACTGCTATGCCGGGTCCATCTCGCCGCCTATTGTGCAACAGATCTACACCTCGATGAGCATTATAATGGGCGAGGATAACACGGATACGGGCCGCCAAAAGGTGCAGCAGCTGGCCAGGAATACGCGTTACTTCCGCAGGCGCTTGGCCCAAATGGGCGTCATTACCTATGGCCACGAGGACTCGCCGGTCGTGCCCATGCTCGTCTATCTCTTCTCCAAGATTGGGTAAGCCACTTGAAGCTTTGATTCATAACGGTTTCAACAATGTTGTTTATTACACACTCAGCGCCGTCATTCGCACGCTAACCACGCGCCACATTGCCGTGGTGGGCGCCGGTTTTCCGGCCACACCCATTATGGAGGGTCGCATTCGCTTCTGTTTGTCGGCCGCACACACCAAGGAACAGCTGGACTATGCGCTTGACGTCATCGACGACGTTAGCGAGAACCTGGGCCTGAAGTACTCACGCAAGCCTCGGGATCCCCATCCGATTGAGTACTAGGCTCGCCAGGCCCGCTCGTATACATATACGTAATATCCGCGCCCACACACGCATAGCACGTTAAGCAGAAAGTCGGCCTCAGTTGTGTGACCGAGCTTAGGGCGACAAATCGAGTTGTTGAATATGTTATGGTAAAGCTATATATCCATAATTATAGTCGCCGTGTTGTTGTGGCTTTATTTTTGACTAATCCCCAAGGGACTCTGCCTGAGCTATCAATGAAAAAGAATGAAATGAAATGAAACAGCGCAACAACATGCATAGCTTTATAATGATATGATAATAATAATATTATAATACTATGAATGTGTATTTAGCATTTAAATCATCTGCGTAGTTGTAATTGTATTTTGTAAACTTTTGGATGTCTTCAGCTGCTGCACATATGTATATATGTATATATGTACATATATACATCTTGTTATAAGTAAATCAGAAATGTATTATGATCATCAGGTTATAGCTATAGACAATTACGTCTAGTCCAAGCTAGACAGATCTTTAATATACATTTATCCTTATGCTCAGATATAACGTTAACTCGCTTCTAAAGTTTCCAATGCTAAGTTCAGAAAAAATGTAAAGAAATAAAAAGTTCCAAATAGATATAAGCATTATGCTTCTACGTAATTGTATGGTATGCATTAAACACTTTATTCTTGTAATTCAATAAATATACCTAATGAAATCTAATAGAAATACCTTCTTGTGATCATAGGTGGGATATGGTTTAGTGATAATTGTATAATTTGCTATCCTTTTATTTATTTAATTGTTAAGTCTTACAACTACATATGTCTATTATCTAGTAATCATTGAATTTTTTGGAATATTTTCTTATGATCACATTGATAAATTTCTGTATTTTTTGGTAATTTTGTTGATTGTCTAATGTGGAAACACTGAAACAGCTAAAAGATTAGTTCGATCGAATCAAGGAAAAAACGTGACAAATGGAAACAGGGCCGAAAGCAGTTGACCCAATTCACTGTATGCCAACATTCGCAAGCATTGCAACATACGTAAGTCAAGCAGTGCGCCAAGCAGTGTAATGCATTGCTTCCCGATCGAAGTGAGGGCTATTCCTCCACATATGTATCCTATATTCATATAACTTGATCATTCACTAAATAATTTATCATTTCTTCCAGTTGGCTGCTCAAAAAGGTATCGACAAGATGAAAATGTTTTATTTGCACAGTTTCCTTTTCGTACTTACCCTACGTTTTGGATGCCGCATCATAGGCTTTGTTGAGATTGCCCTATGTGGCTATGGATTCTACTATTTGATTGTCACCTATGGTAATATACCAAATGTCTTCCACATCTGACCTTTACTCACAAATCATTTCATCAACTTCTTAGGATTTTCAGAAATGCTAGAATCGATGATTACCATAGCATTGGGCACCTCCTGTCTTCTGACCGTTCTAATGATGGTTTCCACTCTCCAGGATCATGTGAGTGATGTTAAAGCACTATCAATGACATAAGATTTAATATATAATCACCCATAACTATATAGGAATCATCGGGTATTATTTTCACTTATCTGATGTGGGGCATCTTCACAACAATATTCCTGAGTATTTTCTATTTGATTATGTTCCAAACAAAAAGGTTAACTGTACCTCTATTCTTCGGCCTGTTCGTCGGCACAATAAGTGAGTAAAGTTTTCGTAATATTTTACTATGTTGCTTATTTCAACAGTTACCAAGTGTTATTCCATGCTGGTGGTATTATCGTTCCTCCACATGATAGTCAGTTCCGATAGCGATGATTCAGCATAGAAGCGAAAACAATGGAGATTGTGTGAAAAGAAAAAAATGTGCAGAAATCTATTTTAAATGTAAAGCACCCAGTGTTCCGTGTAGTCAGTCTATTCAATTAAATATATTTTTATTAGTTTTATATATGCAATGTGTGTACTTATAATTTTTATATATTTTTAATTTTACTAAAAAATGTAACAGGAGTCATATAGATTTAATTACATGAATACTCAAATTTAATTTATTTTATTAAATTCAAGTACAGCAATTACTCAAAGTAAAACTACTGCCGTCAATTGTTAAAGAAAGCAGTCCACCAAGCAGTGTAAAGCAGTTCGCTTTTGGCAAAGCACAAAGTGCGCGCTTTTAAAAATAAACTTTTAATGAAATGCTCAAAATAAATTATATACGTATTCATTTGAGAAAAATATGATTTTAATAAATAAATCTCTTTCTGCAAGATACAAAAAATTATAGAAAAACACTACTTTTTTTTACTGAAACTTTTTTGCATTTCTATATATTACAAAAATTTATAATTAAATTATAGAAGGCTTACGCAAAGTCTTTGCTTTTCTTTATTTCTTATTTATTTTTTTTTGCTGAGCTGTGAATTTCTTCTTCAGCTTCTTTAGCCACATTCAAGCGAACACTGTCAAATGGTATTTTTGGCAAAATTGTTGGCATTGTATTGCAATCGAATGAGTCGTCGAAGCTTAACAATTTTCTAATTAACAGTAACTCAAGAGCGTCTGGCACTCGACCGTAATGCCAAATAAATTCCAATTGTAATTGTCATAGATTTTTCGATAGCCAAAAGTGGGCGAGAAACGTGGCCAAGTCAACTGTTGTTGCATAGAAATTACTTTCAATTTTATTGCACTTGCAATATTTATGGAATTGTTGCATGTGTCCGGCATCCACAAATCCAGATGCGGGCAGCACGTAAGCTCAAATTTCAATGCCACAGCTCCCTCAGGGCAGCGAGGGGGGTGGAGAGGGAGGCGTTGCGGAAATAATTTCTTAAAAATGGTTATTTAAAAAATCGATTTGAATGAATTTTCGGTGTGTGTGTGTGTGTGTGGTTCGGCTTTCGCCAGTTGCTAAATACATACATATACACATAACTACATATGCATAGTGCACAGCGTATGTATGTATGGCGCAGGGGCGGCTGGGCGTGTCCCTTTAGCTGCATCGCATTGCATTGCTGGTGTGAGTAATTGACTACGTGCGTATAAACTTTGTGCTGGCATTTTACCGAGCGTCGAGTGCCCAGTGAGTGCAGCTGGCCTTGATTGTGTGTGTGTGTGTCTGAGTGTGTGGGAGAGTGTGTCTGAGTATGTGTGTGCTCTCATAAATATGCACTATACTGGCCATTTGTCATGGCTTTTTTGCTCAGACCAAAGCAGCCCGAGCCCAGCCCGAGCCTAGCTGCAACTCGTGATCTCAGGCTGAAGCGCAGTTTAATAGAGATTGATAAGGATAAGCAGCAGCCAGGAGCATTGAGATACTAAATTCACCCAGCTGCAACATCCACTTCATCCAATGTACAATTGCAATATTTCCTTTTAGTATAATTGCGAATTGGTCGTAGCTTGGTTCACAGATAATTTACTTTACTGTTTATACTGTTTATATATGTATAGTTCCATATTATATGTGCTTTAAGCATCTATAAAAAAGCTATTATTAAACAAAATAGAAACATATGCCGGGATCTATGCGAGCATTAGCTGAACATTGTTGAGCCATTTTAATACATAGAGGAGATCTTCTTTCAAGGGACCACCTGCTCTCTCGAAATATTTATACTTTTGTAGAGACAGTTCTCAGTTTAATCTGAGCCATTATATTATTAGGGACAGAAAAAGAGACAGTGAGAAAGAGAGAGAGAGAGAGAGGGAGAAAGAGAAAGAGGGAGTGACGATGCAGACATTAAAATTCGGAGAGAAATATGAAATAGCTCAAAAGATCAGCTCTATACTTAAGCCTTACTAAGTATAGTAAGTAAGAATGACTATCCAGAATTCTCGTGCATTTGGTATTTTATGAAAAAGGTTATTCGAAATTCTTTAATTTATAGTCAATATGAAAATAAAGTATGTTTAAACGATAATCAGATTCATAAATGTCTTCAACATGGTATATCTAATCGATAATCCTGCTTAATACATGTTAATGCATTTAACTTTTGAGAATTCAGTCGATTTCGCTTTGAACTTTGCGTGGGTCTAACTGGAGTCTTTTGCGAGTTTCTTTTGATAGTCGATTGCTGTGGCAGCATGTGGCATTAGGATGAATAGTTGCCGTTGCCGTTGCCGTTGTTGTTGTTGCTGTTGTTGTTGTTGTTGGTGCAGCGTTGCGCGAAAAGCTCAGCAAATACAATTTTAATGTTTCCGCTTACCTGCTGGAAAATATGTATGCATGAGTTTTCTGCTAGTTTTTCTTGCAACTTTTGCTGCTTGCCTTCGCCGCACACACTCGACTCTCGAGTATTGGTTACAGAGAAAGCTGCCACGGATTTCGTTTATGGCAACGGGGAAAAAATAAATAAAAAAAAAAAAACATGGAAGAAGAAAGTATAAACCAGAGGAAGTTGCATTTTGTGTCCATAATCTGATAAAATGTTTCAAAGTTGGCTTTTTTTTCTACCTTAGCAATATTAAATAACAGCCAAAAAGAGGGTGGGGGAGGGAGCTAGGGGAGGATTTGAGATTGAGTGAGATACAGAGTAAATCCGATTTGCGTGCATTTGATGCATCCGAAAGCGCGTCAGCTTGTGGATTATGTGCATACTTCTGGCAGCCAGTGTGGCCGATGATGATGTTGCAGGAGTCGGCGCAACAAGAGATGCTAATTAAGGGCAGGATGGGCCCCAGCTAATAGTTTGCATATTTAATAGAGGCGAGGGAGAGAGAGAGAGAGAAAGATATTAGCTACGACCACGCCCAGAAGACAATAATCATAAATGTTAACAAGACGCCCACAAAACTTAATGATGGCAAACAAAGGCAGCCTAGGCAGACATATTAAGGCATACATTGTCTGTGTGCGTGTGAGTGTACGTGTGGCTGTGCGTGCGTGTGTGCGTGTGCCCTTGTGACAGGTGTTAAGGTGTCGCCTGTCGCATGCCTGGGTTTGCTTTTGTATCTGTGTTTCTGGCATTAATTAGAAAACTGTGGTTGCCTTTTCCGAATGAAATATTTGCCAGTAAATTTAATTTGCGGTCAGTTTGCCTGAGAGACAGAGAGAGGGTGATTGAGTGGGCGGGGCAGAGAATGCAAGGACATAACTGTAAAAGCTCTAGGGTTTTGCATTTAAGTTTTGCTAGAGAAAATCAAAAGCTCGCAATGCCTTGATTAAATTCGTCTCGCTTCGGCGACGCAAAGACTTTGATGGATTGACGAAAGTGTAACGCACAAAACACTGAGGTGCAAAAGTATGTGTGTGTGTGCGTGGGTACTTTCAAATATCAACACACACACACACACTCACGCACATTTACGCACACACAACAAAAGTCAAAGGAGTGGAACGAACTTTACCCTAGCGACACGTTCGAGCAGGCACATGAAAAATTGTTTCCGTTCGCCTCGAATCTTATTATAAAACATGTGCTTAAGTAATAGCATCCAGCTGAAGTGTTTGACTTGACGCCTCGTGTCATGTAACAGATTGCTCCAATGCCAGCCAAAGGGTAAAGATTAATTTAATGCCAGCGTGCGGATGCTGCAAGTGAAGCCATAAGAAATCATCAAATCAGACTCAGCCATGCCCCTCCCAGCTACCTACCCACCCACCTACCTAGCTTATATGGATCGAAAAGTGTGAGCATTATTATGATTCGCTAGCTGATTGATGTTTGATAGATGTAAATGAAAAAGGTATATATGTATGCATGTATATAAATAAATAATTTGGTATAAGTTTTGATATGAAAAATAATGAATGTATTGCTAGAAAGAGAGAGAGCAAGAGAGAGAGAGAGAGAGAGAGAGACTGTGAACATGCTTCCTATTACAATTCTGTATATCTTATTAAAGAGCTTATGCTCTCTCACTTCCCAATGGAAATCCCATAAAGAGTGGGAGATGGCCGCATCCCCTTTGAATACCTCTATAAAATCTGCTATTAAAAAATTCTCAAATGCTTTTACAACATTCTGCGTACGATCCTCAAGTCTGTAGTTGGATCTGCTAATATTCTATCAACAGGCTTTGCGCTTAGCTATGCTCTCATTTTAATCTTTAATGTCAATGATATATTGATGGGTCCATGATGTCCACCTTTAATCCTCAAATCAAATCCAAGCAAACGAGCAATCGAAAATTGGCTAGAAAATCAAAATAAAATAAATAATACACAGTTTATATATAGCTTAATTATACAGCTATAAAACCAGCTCAGGCTTTAATGAAGCATCATCAGTTTTGGTCACCCCAAACGTAGATAATATTCAGAATTATATAGCTACCATTAATTACTCAGATACATATTTAAGTCAGCTCTAATAATTCAATGCAAAGGCAAACAGCTTCGATGGCGTCTAAAGTCGCTTGGTCGGATCTCGGCAATCCTTAATTGCAGGCGAAAGGCCTCGCAGCTGGCATTGATTTTGATTTAGTGTATTGGACTAAAATCGATGCGCATATTCATACGCATCGAATTGCAAAATTAACTTATGTATAATCTGAGCTAATTGGATTCCTAATGCAACTGTCGCACAGATGCTGCGACCCTAATTGAATTAAATTAGTCCGTGTGTGGGAATAAATATATACATATATACAGATATAATAAATGTGTATTATATAAATAATATGTCGATATCGATGCATGTCTCTATCTATATTGATGTGTACATGTTTAATTGAATCGACTGCAGTATATTGTTGACAGTGGCGCACGTCAACTGGGCGTATGCGTAATTTGATTATTAATTAAATGGGCAACTGGCGTGCGTTGAACCTCGGCACTTAAATGGGCCAATACTCAATCGAATTAGCTAGCTGAGCTGCTGTGACAAACACACATACACACACACACACACATAGATAGAGTGAGTGAGAGAGACAGGAAAACAATGGCCGTGTCGTAATGACAAGGACAATGCGTTAGATGAGGTCTGCTGGGCCGGG